TTTATATTTAAATTATATTTATATTTAATTATCGAAGAGGCTACGGCGCATATATTATGTAGTAAATAACGTAATATTGAAGGAAATCACCAAAGAAAATTCTTAAAAGGAATTAGTACAAGAAAAAAGTTGGGAACCATTGGGCCGATTGCAGAGACAGCGTTTAGAGGCCAACGGCGGTTTACAGATCGAATAGACCGCTGTTCAGAAAAATTTCATTGCAGAGACGGCTTTTCTCCCCTGCCACAATGTAGACAGCGTTTAGAAACAAGTTATTTGACCTATTTTCTAGACTCCTTCGACATCATTTTACTCGAGTGGAAGTCGCCATTTTCCTTTGTTGGTCGTGTTAAAATGGATATCCTTAATTTAATCAATCTTGCAAACGGGACGAATGAAGAATATCATTCATCTCGATAGTTACGAAGAGAGAGAGTAATTCGAGATCGGAATAATCCTATAGAAATTTATTCCGAAGACGAATTTCGAACTCGGTATAGATTTTCTAAATCTGGATTCGTTCACATATTAAATCGTTTTGCCGACGAAATTAGGCATCTGGATGGAAGAGGATTGCCATTAACTGCCGAACAACAGTTATTGACGGCATTACGATTTTATGCCACCGGAAGCTACCAGAGGGTAGCCGGTGATCTTATCAGAGTTCACATCTGTACTGTATGCAGGTATCTACCAAACTATTATTAAATAAATTTTAAAAGTTTTTTGTATAGTGATAGAGACGTTTATAAGAATGAGGTCTTGTTTAACGTTTGTAGTAAGTTATATATTGCATTATTTATTAATTATTGTTATGTCATTATCAGAACCATCCAAAACGTCTCAAAGGCATTAGTACTGTACATCTAAAGAATGCCGAAACTGTATTTCCGACGCAATCCGAACTTCCGACTATTACGCACAATTTTTCTTTATTATCTAAGGATAACTTTCCATTCCAGGAATAATTGGAGGCAATTAATTACACTCATATTTCTATCAAGTGTCCTGACAGCAATAGAGCTCAATTGTTTTATAATAGAAAATCCTATTATTCTATTAACTGCCAGGTGAGAATTATTTACATACAATATCATCTTTACTTAAATATGTGATTTTCTTAACTCATAATTAAGTGAAATTTCAATAAAATGTAATAAACTGTAATTTATTGTAGCTTAAATAACTATTAAATATACAATGGCCTATATATTTTTCTAACATTTTAAATTGTTATGCCTTGTTCTGAAACAGTTATATTCTTGAGTATTTCTTTGACATATGAAATTACAAATATCAAATAATATCTTTGATATCTCAAACTGATAACTTTAATGAAAATATATAATTGATGCATGTTTAAATGTATATTTCAGGTAATCTGTGATGGAAAGATGAAAATCAGAAATATTGTTGCTCGGTGGCCCGATTCAACACATGACAGTAGAATTTTTTCTAACAGTAGCATCAAAGAAAAACTACATCAAGGATATTGTAATGGATATCTGGTTGGTGACAGTGGCTATCCTTGTTTGCAATATTTAATGACCCCATTTCTACATCCGCAAAATCATGCTGAAAGATGGTATAACAAAGCTCATTCACGAGCAAGAAATATCGTCGAGAGATTATTTGGGGTCTGGAAAAGACGATTTCCATACATTGGAAGTTGTCTAAGAAATAAATTAGACAACACGCTAAATATAATAATAGCCACAGCTAATTCTACAAAATTGGGCCATTGAATTTAAAAAGGAGGAGTTTCTTACTGAGCATTTAAATGATCTGCTCTTCGAAGATCTATTGTACTGCAACATTTCAGTTAAATGAAACAGTACTTTAGGACTTTCACAAAAAGTCCTTTTCAGGACCATACAATTTTGATAAAGAGTGAGCCTATCATAGACAAAATAATCCTCTTTTTATTCATTTTAAATAAAATTATTACTTAACATAACCTATGTAACAAATTAAATAAACATTCATATAATTGTTTTATTCATCCATATTTTCTCAAAAAGATTTAAATTATGATATCTGTGTTTAATTTTATGATAAATTAATTTTTAAGAGAATTTTAAGTAGTGTACCTATGCTTTTGTAACAGACTACCTTCTGTTTATCAATTAGAGCATACTACAGTGTTTTTCACAAATATTGCAAAAAGTGAGTTTTAATTTACTTAACAAGTATTAAATGAAATTTATGTAATCAAGCAAGTTATTCTATAAATGTATTACTTCAAAAATTTTCATTAAACAGTTGCTATTTATAACATTTTTAATTAAATACAGTACTTGTATATGTTGTATTCATGTAAAACTGTTTATAACTTACAGACTTTTTTGACATTCAGTATAAAAGAGTGTGAGGTAGATAGTAATGACTTATCACACCAGTGATAATAAGCACAAACACCCAGATATCAATGGAGTACATTATAAAGGTATGAACATTGAACAATAAATGGGTGTAGAGAAGACAGGCTTAGGCGGCTTCATAATGTTACACGATAGCTTGACGTAAGGTTTACTATTATATACAGTATTAAAATTAGCAGAATAATAGAGTAATTAATTTAATTTGATACATGTTAAACATGATTCTGTAATCACAAACAATAGCTAAATAACTATTTAATTAAAAAAAATATTTTTTTACATATGAATTATGCTTCACTTTTATCTTTCTTTTATTTTCTTATATTTTTTCTTTGATATTCTTCCATCATTTAATTGTTTATTAATAAGATCTGACCACTCTTAACTAAAGTTGTTGGCCCTGAAAAGGGCCGTTTTAATATTTATAATAAATGTATTTATTTATTTTCTGATAATTTTAGTTCTTGCAGATGTTGCAACTTTTTAAACTGTAATAACTCTGTGTTAAGTTGTTCCGCTTCTTGCTGTTTCCTTTCTGTATCTTGTTTCATTTTCTCTGTTTTTATGCTCTCCTCTATTAGCTGAATTTGGGCTTTCTCTAATAAGTTAATGCTATAAATATCAATGATTATTTTTTAGAAAGTAATTATTAATATTTAGTATTATTTTATCTGAACATTATTTACCGTTGTCTTTTGGGTGGTGGTGGATCATCTGCCACTTCTGCCACTTCCATATTTTCCTTGACAGCTGCATCACTTACCACTATAGGTGAAAATAATCCTGAATTAGAGTATTAATTTGTAGCTGTAAGTGATTCAGTATTATTTTCATATGTGATGATAAGTGGTGATGGTGGATCATCCGGATTGGGTAACGGTTCAATACTGTCACCCAAAACAGATAAAACCACTTGTGTGGATGGATTCAATGATAATGGTGCTGGTCCTCCACCTATTATATGTGCAGCACGTCGGTTATTATCTGCCTCTTTTTTGGCATCTATTTTTAATCGCTTCCAGCAACCTATAACATAGATCATAAGATATACTTTTCTAGTAAAGTTTTTTTAAATTAAATATGCTGTTTTAATATTTGGGCAATATTGTATATTTTTCGTAATCTATTAATCTAATAAATAGAAGTAGAGATTAGTAGGATATGAAATCTTGATTCAGAATAGAATACACTTAAATATACATTGCACAAAGTAATTTTTCTTGTAATAAATTTAATTTAGGTGATTAATAATCGAAACTGTCTATATTCTTTTTATTAAAATTTTGAATTATCATTCTACTTTGATATTATTAATGTTAAAAATATTAACTAACATCTTATAATATGAAATTAATATTTTACATTCATACTTGTACTATTGTACGAGCTGATCTACAGGGAAATGACGAGGAGAATTCGTTTAGAATCTTCTCCCATGCGGATTTTTTTGACGCTAGAGTACGGTTATCATACCCCTTCTCTTCAACTACGAGATAATTTTTAATAATTTCCGCCAGGACGTTCTTTTCTTCTTCCGAAAAATTCCTACACGTTTTCGACACAATCGCCGTGTTTCTGACGTCACACGAATAACCTGATTGGCTGAGCGACCCCTAAAACAGGGGAGTAATGGCGAAGAAAGTAAGAGCCAACGTTTCGCCGAGATTCGTTTAGCTGCAGTGATTCTCAAACTTTTTCGATCCACCGCCCCCTTTGTTCCATAAAGTTATACCCAACGCCCCCTAACCCATTTTCTCTTGTGTGAGAAAAGGATTGAAAACATTCTTAGGAAAACTTTTCTATGAGTCTCACACTTTGTGCCCTTACTGTACATTGTTCTCATCATCTGGAAACCATTAAACGCAATGTTTCCTTTTATCAGCCCCAATTTTGCATTTGGTCACCGTTCAATACCCTGCCTCTATCATAGATCTATTCATCGCGCCAGAAGAGGGCGTTATTGCTTACTTTGAGAAACGCTGCGGCTTTAGATGGTGTTCGGAAACAGACGATCATCGTCTTTGCAACGTATTTTAAACCGCGGTTCAGCCAACTGACGTCTATAAGCTGTTCGGCTATTAAATGTCGTTTAACGTAAACGCTGTCTCTGCAATCGGCCCATTGTATTTAAGTGACTCTGATACGACTGAACGCGTCTAAAGAAATTTATGCGTAGGGGTCAAACATAAAAACAGCATTGCGGGTACGTAACGAAAAATAGGCGCAAAACACGAACAAAAACCAAAATCAAACAATCCTTAGCGATTCATTTGTTCTTGAATCGCCTCTTTGTATCGGGAAGTACTGTACAGTACATCTGTTCGAGTCCTTCAGATAAAAGGATCGCCTCTTCTATGACTAACAGATATAGCTTCTATCTTTCCCGCATCGCTTCAATTCTAACGCGATGTCTAGTGTACAATATACAGATTATCATATTGTTTGTATTCTAAACGAGTACAGGTACGCACTTAGTTCTGCACACGTTCGAGTAAATTCAACTAAAATAAAAGAAATCATTGCATTAATTCCTATACTCTTTCTTGTTGAAGAGAATATCGATTCTTGTAATGTTCTCTACTTTACAATATTTAAAATATTTATGTTAAATTATGGTAGGTTATATCTTGGCTGACGAAGGTTACGACGTCTGGATGGGAAATCAAAGAGGTAACACTTACGCCCGAAAGCATATCAAATATTCGACCGAAGAAGACAAATTTTGGAATTTCAGGTCAGTAGAAAGACAACTTGTGAGGTCTTTGTACAGTACATGAATTTAAAACGTTTCTTTGTAGTATTGACGAACATGCCATGTATGATACACCGGATAGTATAGACTTTGTCCTAAACATAACAGGACAAAGTCAATTATATTATGTGGGATTTTCGCAAGGTAACCTGATAGTCTATGCATTTCTCTCCGAGAATCCCGAGTATAACAAAGTAAGAGTTGTTTTCACTTACTTCGACACAGTTTTACAACTCATTTAAAATTAAAATATTGAATTTACTAGATCAAAGTAGTACTTTCTCTAGCTCCAGTCGCACTGGTCGGTCATATTAAGAGTCCTATTCGTCTATTAGCTCCTTTTACCAGTGAAGTTCAAGTGAGCATTACGACTAATAAACTCCTGGCAAAAATTGTGGAATTACTCTATCATTATGTTGTTTTTATATTGTTTTAAGCACTTAGGAAAGAAATAAAATAAGCAATTGATGCTGTTGGAAAAAGGCACAATGAACATTTATTTTCTACGAAACATTTACACAACAGCAAAATGGCGAACTTCAAACATTCCGAAACTTCAACGTTCTAAATTCTATTTAAAGTGAAATAACTTCCAAAACGAGTGCTACCTGACAAAATTCTCGCAATTCGCAACATACCTTTTTAATAATAGTCAAACCGTTTGACTATTTTAATTATAAGTTAATCAAAGTAATAATATCTTTTATATAAATTAAACATCATTTTGGTTTGAAATTTTACATGTAGGAAAACATTTTTGATTCACATCAAGTTAAAAAAAAGTGATGGAATTAAGCAATTTAAATAATTTAAGTAATACGTTCTAACACCTGGAGGTTTAAGACAATCTTACTTCTAGTATAATTTGCTTCTTGTTTCAATGAGTATGTTAATTTCCTATTGGCTATTAATATGCCTTAAACCCAAACTTATCATAACGACTACAAATGAATTTAAGATGACTGTTTTTTCATATACTTTTTTATTGACTCCAATCTGTATTTAGGGCGTATAAATTCATCCCTGTTCAGTCGGATACAATATTAATAGTGTTAAATTAAAAAGTTATGCGAAAAAACAGTTACCTTAAAGTGATTTGCGGGCGTTATGATAAGTTTGCGTTTAAGACATATTAATAGTCAATAGAAATTAATCTTAGTTCTTTCAAGCATTGATTTTATTCATGAAAAAAAAAAATCGTTATTTAAAGCTTTTCCTTTTCACCGAACAGTCGTCAAGACACTTGATTTCCACACAAAGTTGATTTATCTAAATTACGTAGTAAATTGTAAAATTTATATTTATGACTAGATTATATCGGTAACACATTTTTAGACATAAAAAATATTGTAATTAAAGACAATCCGCACAAAGATGTACTAAAAGAATTATATGATTTCATATCATTAATTTTTATGATATCATCTACCAGTTCTTCTGTTGAGCGCAGTTTTTCAAACATTAAGCGAATTAATACATTCGCAAAGTCCACTCAGTCAGAGGAAAGATTGTCGTCGCTAGAATAGCTTTCGATAGAAAAAGAGCTTTTAAATACTTTCGTGGTATCAAAGAAAAGCGATTTCGAGCGGTCTTCGTCCCCGCCCATGAGTGGACTAGACCCTAAACACTGGGAGTTCGGTCGTGGGTTCGTGCCTCGCTCGGACGCGCTGGCAGCATGGAGTTTTCCCGGTTTTCTTCATGTCCGTGACGCCTGAATAGGGGCCAGTTTTCCATAAAAGTCCTCCCGGAAGACATTCTTTCCCTGCGCGCGATTAGGCCATTCTTTAAGGCCGGCTCTTCGGTCGCATAGCGATTACCCACAAATCTCTCAAACTAAAAGTGTACAGCCATAAGACTCCATATGAACTATCATTTACTGAATGAAAGAAAGAAAGAAAGGAAAAGCGATTTTTATGATAACATAATTAACGACTTTGAGGAAAAAACCGCCGAATAGAGTTAGTTCATAAAAAGTAATACAAACAAGTTTTTATAACTTTTATTTCGTGTTAATTATCTGATTTAAAATTAAAATAAATAACCTTTTATTTTTGTCATTTCTAGTATTTGTTTAAATTTTTTATAGAAACACAATTTTCCTATAATTAAATGCCACGACACGCCACTGTTCTATATCAATTGCTTGTTTTATTTCTTTGCTGCATGCTTAAAACACTATAAAAACGACATCGTGATGATAAAATTCCATAATTTTTGCCTGGGGTTGTATTAAATATACGAGTATTTCGATTGCAGATTTTAACTTAAGATTGGTTTAGTTTTTATATTCCGTTCTAGGACCCAGAGAATTTTTACCAAACGATTTCATTACGGAATTATTTGCTCAAACTGCCTGTAATGTTGATGTTGTTAGGTCGATATGCTCCAATATCTATTTCCTAATAAGCGGATATGATCTTTGCCAATTAAATGAGGTAAAGTAGGAAAGATTATTACAAAAGTTTGAAAATATCTTATGTCTAATAAACTAGATTATTTCAGTCTCGCCTGGATGTCTACTTTTCTCATTTTCCTGCAGGAACATCTACTAAAAACATAATTCATTACGGACAGGTAGGTTAAGTTGTTGAATATTTCGAGGAAATTAAAATATGAATAATTGAAATAATTTAAGCTTATTGTAGATGGTAAATTCGAAAGAACTGCAAAAATTCGATTATGGACCGTTAGGGAACCTAGAAAAATACAAACAGGTAAGGACAAAACTTTCTGTTCGATATTTAGATCTTTGCTTTGTTTTGATATTTAGATCTTTTATTTATATGAATGTGTTTACCTATTAGGTTCAGCCCCCAATGTATGATATTCCAAAAATTAAAATCCCAATCGGACTTTTTTCGGGTTTAAACGACTTTCTGGCAGATCCTGAAGACGTGGATATATTTCGAAATCGCATCTCGAATTTGATAGCCGATTATCAAGTCTGCCTGAAAGAATGGGGCCATCTAGATTTTGTGTTTGCGAAAGAAACAAAGAAATATGTCTATGACGAATTACTTCGAGAATTGAAAAGTATTTAAACTTCATCTGTATACAAAATAATGCACTTGTGAGTTTTGCTCTAATTCAATGCATGTCTAAACAATACTAAATATATACAATAAACAGTTTATAAAACTTCTTTTGTAGACAATATGTATGTATTATCTACAAAAGAAGTTTTATAAACTCTTTATTCTAAATTTTTAAAAAAGTACTAAATAATTTTTGTTCGTATAGAATATTAACATTATATAATTTGGATATAATTAAAATTTTACGGTTCCGGTTTCGGTAAAATTCCGGTTGGTTTGAGCTGCGTGTTATTTGATCACGATGACTGAGAGTTTCGTGGTTTTGAGTCTCCTGTAATCAATAAAATAAAAATATATAATAAATTTGTATATTTTAAATTAATTTTTAGGAGGGTTAACACACTTGATAACTTGTAATAAACTATACAGTCGCAACCGAATTAATAATTAATTAATTAATGTTAGAAAATAATCCACGAATTTTATCAGCTGGTTCTTTAAGAATAACACTACTAATGCATGTTGATAAACGAAAATGATCCAATTTCTTACAATGAAATAAATAATGATTCAGGGTCGCATTTTCTTGCATATAATAAGTACACGGGCCCACCAGTGGCCAAACTGTTTCGTCCCTGAACAGTGGGAGTTCGATCTCGCATCTCGCCAGGACGGACTGGCTACGTGGAGTTATCTCCACATCTGTAAACCTGAATAGGAGTCAGTTACCCTTAAAAAGACCTCCCGGAAGGCATTCTTCCTAGGCAGATCGCACAAGTGTGCGTTGCCATAACTTAACAAACACTAAGCACACACAACTATGAATTTAAATCTAAAGACAAATTTTTCCATACTAAACGAAATTTATTTAGTCGAATCTGAACAATCGTTCTTTTTACAATAAATGGCTGTTGCTGATCAATAGGTCAATATTGGTTTTGGTGCCCAGGTATTTTGAGCTAATTTCATATGAATTTGATGTCCTGAATTCAAATATGGCATTAGTTTTTGCCTAGGAGCTCTAATTTTTAAGATATAGCATTTTAGCGAATTATACGTTTCAATATCTCAAGTTAAATCCATGGATCAAGTAAAAAAATTAAACACGGAATTTTTATTATTATATTATGCAAATATTATTCTATACAAAGATAGAGGAAAATGTCATCAATAAAACTAAACAGTTAGACATTGAGGAAGATTCTTATCCGTGACATTCGTGAATGTATTTTGGAGCAATCCCTTTTTAAACTCTAGCTGTAATCTGCCATCATATGTGTATCCCATATTCCTTGGTAGCAGTCCTCAATAGTTTTAATATCCTGGTGAAATCTTTCACCTTGTTCTTCACTGGTGTCTCCTAAATTTTCAAGAAAACGATCTAAGTGACTGTGTAAATAGTGCACCTTAATACTCATATTACACCCAAGGGAATTGAAACTGTTAAGCATCTCGTTTACCAGTTCAACATAATTTTCAGCTTTGCATTTGCCTAGAAAATTTCTGACAACTGCAACAAATGTAGTCCAGGCTTTTCACTCAGCTTCATTCATCGAATTTACGAAGGCAAGATCGTTAATGAGTTGTCTTATTTGTGGGCCGTCAAATATTCCTGCTATAATTTTTTCTATACTTAACTGAGGCATAAGAATTTTAGAAAGGGTTAGGTGGGGCATAGCACAAAAAAGGTTGGGAAACACTGATCTAGACACTGCACGGCTAGAACTTACAAACTTACCTCAAATCTAGTTGAAGCATTGAACGTCAATTCGTTACCGAATGCTTACTTTATTTGGTGGATTTACCTGGAATTAACTGGACGGCAGACTAACAATGTGGAAAATATACAGGAATCAATTCTTGCATATGTGATTTAGAACTGTACAAACTGGAATTAGAGCTGCACATTTCATGTAGCACTGTACGTTAAAAAAACACAGATCTAAAAAAGTAGAGCTGATAGAGAAAAACTGATTTCATATTTGGATTCAGCGACCCAAATATAGCTAAAATCAGTTCTAAAATCCTAGGCACCAAAAAAAAAATTTTTTTTGTAGGCTTGTGTAATAAATATAAAAACAACGAAATTATCTAGTATTTTCGAGTACCATGTGTGATATTTAGCCTTGAGTATCCTGTCTCTTTCTTCACAAAGAAAAAGATTATCAAACTCACATCAGATTGTGTTTGTATAATGTTTTATAACAACTGGAGATAAGTCAATTAGGGAAAGTGAAATACCTATTCTATTAAACACTCTCTCCAGTTTAGTATACCAAAAGTTTTTTAATGATTTAATCGATGAGTTTCATCAAGGTAAAATATGTTACACATTCCAAGAAGTAAGGGTCAGAAATAATGTCTTTCAAAAAGCTTAGAGTTAGTTTAACAAAATGTTTCCTGGAAAATTCAAAACCCAATTCAAATCCGATTGCATATGGTGAGTTCGACCTCTCAAGGCCAAAAGGACGACGGAAAAACATCAACTCTATAGAGTCAATGTACTCTAAGCAAAAACACCTCCAGAATGGCAGTCCGTAAGACCAACTCGAAGTAAATAAGGAGGCTGCTAGTTTCTTACACAGAATCACATGACTATTTCTCAGTCTTCTCAAAATATCAATTACTTATTTATTTTGAAGTATGCTTTATTTACCCTTAACGTAAGAAATGTAATGTAAGAACGAACCAGTAGCAAACAATCGAATTCCCAAATAGGCAACTTCATTAACAATACTTATCTCTCTTTCATTTAAGAAAAACTTATCTGCTTTTCTCAGCCTTCCGCCTTTTCTAAAGATTATTATTTTCGACTTAAAAAGTTGATACGCAAATCCAAAGTACTGTACAAAAATAATTAAACAATCTGTCCAATTTCCTTTATAAGTAAATCGGCGTAGTGGATAAGTCTACTGTATCGTCAACAAATTGAAGTAAATGCACATCGTATTCACCCATAAAGATGGATTGTTTGCTTAAATTATCAAAGGCATGAACCATATCATTAACATAGCAGATAAACAATAAAGGAATAACCTTGTAGTAAACCCTTTTCTGACGGAAAAGCATCAGTGAACCCAGAGCTAGTGCAGATACTTGCTTTCAGTCCTAAAAATAGACATCGAATAGTATTAATAGATTAATCAGGGATTCCAACCATTCCTGATTTTGATAATGACACCTCAAATATAACACTGTCGAAGACCTTTACGTAATCTACAAAGGCGGCCAATAGACGTTGTCTTTTCTTTGAGAGTTGTCTACAAATCAAAGAGTGAAGGATTAAAATATTGCACAAAGTACTCTTCTGAGATTGGAAAGCAAATTACACTGATTAAATAACACTCCTCTTTCTCTTCCTAAGCCATATACCCAACATATTCGCCAAAATAGAAGTAAAGATTTTCCGTACTACAGGTAGCAACGATATTGGCCGAGCAACGATTAGAGGGCTCATCAATTGGATCTTTCTTATGAATAACTTTAATCTTTACTTCTAACCAAGACCTAGGAACCTTAGCAGAATCGTAAACTCGATTAAATAGTTTAACCAGGTGAGGGATTAATAATAAGCGATTAAAGACGGTAAAACATTTTCTACTCCAGGAACAGAACGTATTCGCATCTTTTGAATTGCAATGCTCACTAAAGAACATCAACTACTAAAGAAGCCACCGGCAGGGACGGAATCAAAGCATTTAAACTAAATTTATTTAACATTTTAATTTATAAATAAATAAATAATAAATATAATACAATAAAACTTGTGTAAACTGGAAGCGCACCATGATGACGTTTTTCCGTTTAGACAGGTTTTATGCTATATTTATTTATTATTTGTTAATAATTCTAAATATAGATCAAGTAGAATTTAATTAGTTTACAAATAAACTAAAATAAAAACATATATATTTTAATGTTATTGTAATACAGTAATACCCCGAACTTACGCGATAGTGGGACCGAGCAGTAACCGCGTAAGTCGGGGTATAATTTCGCATATAAATACATACAAATTATTTTTAATTGGGGTCGGAGACTAAAGAAAACAATAATTTAGAAAAAAAATGTTTAATAAAATCTTAGATAATGCATATGTATAACAAATTAGGCCTATATTATTTTACAATTTTTCACATTTACTTGATTATTACGCCATAATTTTAAAATTATTTTCATCTCAGCGATAATACTGTGACGTTTACGAATGATGCTTGAATTTAAAGATTGAGCATTTTTCACAGCTTCGAGAATTTTTTCTTTGCCTTTTATAATTGTTCTGACCGACAATTCCGGTAGATCAAACTTCTTTGCCAATTCACAAATTTTCATTTTTGTATCGAAGTCTTTAATAATGGGTACGTTCGTAAAGTCAAACGAGTTAAACGCGTTAGTAACGAATCGTTCGAAAAGTCTAACGAAATAGGAATAACGATGACGTCATTCTCGTTTAACTCGTTCGACTTTACGAACATACCCAATGTTAACTTTACATTCCAAAGATAAAGTTTTTCTTTTCTTGTTTGATGCAGAAGAATTAGTTCTACTTCGTTTGGATGACATAGTAGAGTCTCTCGAGTCTTCGTAGATATAACAAACACAGAAATACATAACAAAATAAATTGTAGCTGTGTGTGGATTCCGCGCGACACATCCGAACATGTAAGCTGAACAATAGTGTGGGGGGAGTGAGTAATCAAGGGTTGCGTGGCGCTCAAACAAAAGACGAACCGACGAGATTTGAAAATCGCGTAACTCCGGGTTCGCGTAAGTCGGGGTAGCGTAAGTCGGGGTATTACTGTATAGGCGTATATATATAATTTATAACCAGGGTGGCCAAGCTCCTTGATAGTCCGAGCCATTTTTCAAAATTTGAAATTTTTCGCGAGCCGCAATTAAATACGTATTAAAAAGGTATGCAAAAAATTCCAGATTACAAATTATATCCGTAGCAAGAGTGATACAAATTGTTTCCTCCAGAGCACAATGTCAACTGTC